CTCTTTCTCAGCCGTAGACATGTGTAGAGAAAACGGCTTTCGATTTGAAAGATGCGTCAGCTGATGGCGTTAAACGCCCGCTTCTAGGAATGTTTAGAAAACGAGTCGTAAATAGCTAATGGGTCAATAAAGTTGCGCACAGGGACTTACGAAGTCCGCGAGACGCAATTGGGTTTACGAGATGTTACAACTAGGAAGGTTCACGGACGTATGCGAGAGTTGACGAGAAAGCGACACGCAAATGCGTGTTGGCAGAGACACGTTAAAATCGACAACGTCATTATGGTAGCTATTCTCCATCAGAAAAGTATCTGCAATCGCGATTTGTTGCGACGTCTTGAACTTCTTGAACACTTTAAATTATACACATTGAATTTTTAAGGATCATTCGTGTCTATCAGATTGAGTTTGTATGATATTAAATCATCTAACGTATTCAAAGGCATGCTAAAAAATATCTTTAACATCTATAGACGTGTAAATACAATTTGTGAGTGCAATCATGTTTTGATAGCACATACATATAATGGCATGTATCATGCAGAGTGCATATTATTGGTGATAGTACTGATGAGTCATAACTTCGAGTCTTGCAATCTCAATATATACGAGTTTACATTCAAGAAATCAACAAATATACGTCTCATTCTGCATATATGCACATCGTCAAATATCTTTTATTACTTTCTAAATAAATTACCCATCTATTTGATTTTATCGTCATCTAGCCATAAGGACTTTAATATTTTCGTTATTATACGCACATGATTAAATTTTCTATGTATTAAATTTATTTTTGTGCCCTAACAACTCTATACTTAGTTTTGTTTTTTTAATTATTTGTCATTTTTCATTATGATCTGTTTCTTAATATATCTCGATTTGGATTAGTACAGAGAGAAAAAATACAAAACGAGCAGAACTACGTGTTCGAGCGGAAGTTCGAATAATCGCACGCTTGTCATGAAAGGAGGTGATGACAGGCGTGATTCTATCTGGTTCGATTGATCAATTAAAAAATACGATCGGCCACCATGGTAAACGACGGATGATTAATCTGAACGCCGGGATACAGAACAAAATTCGTTTGTAAAAATCACACCAAGAGGCAAGTGGCGGAACAACTCGAATTCGCTGGCAGTCAACTCACGTAATGAATCAACTCGCTCATAAATTCCGTAACGAGTCCTCGTCGCACGTAATCGTGAAATTATGTCGTTGGAACATTACGGAATGCAGATTGCGCAAGAACAATTAAGTCTGTTAAAGTACGTGATCAACGATACGGGAAAGCATAGAATAATGATGCGTCCGGTACACTTTTGTTTGTTTAATTGGCCTGAAAAAATGCGAGAATTATGTCCACGATTACGCATTCCTTATTACTGTCGGTAAAAATCGCAATTTTGCATTTTACATCATTGTGCTTTGATACGATCAGCAATACAAGTTCAAGCATCCGGAGAAATGTTTGGTATGAATATTTTGTTGATACGTGATTTACAAAAATTTTCTTATTTTTTAGAATTATGTTATTCTAATTAGAATGGAATCGTGATTAAAATATTAAAATTTTAATTAGAGAACAATAAAATTTTTTAATTAGAGAAAGTAAGAAAGTTTTGTAAATTACATATTAACAAAATAAATGATTATTCATACTAAACATTTCTCTCAGTGCCTAATTAGAGCACGATGTATAAATGTGAGTGATTTTAGAAAATTGCAAAGGTTAATTCGAGAACAAATTTAGCAATAATAAGTTAAAGAAATCGACATTGATATCGTTTAGAAATTATTTTAGAAATTATTTGAATATTTCATCGCATCGAATATTGTTCAAAGCGGTTTCTTTTCACGATGATTCATCTTTCACGTACGGTAGAAAGACCGTAGTTTTACGTTATTGCCGCATTAATGTGTTTTTGCATGGTGATACTGCCCGATTGTTCATGTGCCAGTAACGATGAGTATTATTTAAACCAACTTCCTGCGAGTCCCACTTTGTGTGAAAGGAAGAATTATTACTTGCGGTTCTTTCGAGCTACTATCGACGTGACTCTAAACCCCATATTGACCCAGACTGCGTGAGTCGAATGCTTCTATCATTGCATACTCTTGTCCAGGATCATTCATGGACGAAGACGTGTTAGTCACGTGTTCGTCGCGTATGCCGCTGGGTCAATGGCTTATTGCGTGAGAGTTTCCCCATACCTAAGTGAGAAAACTATCATCTTTGAAGAAGATCAAATCACAAATCATGGAATAATTCCAAATGAGAAAAGTTCGAAGAAAAAGAATAAGAAAAAAAAAGTAAGTGAAGTCATGACAAATTGTATCGATATGATTTTTAATATCTATAACTAATTTGCTATTTGTAGATTTGTATTATGAAATATTAAACATAGATCTCTTGAAAGAAGTATCAGTTTTTCAGGAAGATTTTTACGAAGCAAAAATATTCTCCGGAGAGAATTCTCTCGAAAAAATTCATGAACCTAATTCCCTTTTTTTCTCTATTCATGATTTTTCTCTATTCTTTTTTCTCTATTCATGATTTTTCTCTATTCACACATTTTGATTGTTCCTGATGATTTGTTGCAGCAAAGTTTGCACTTTGCGAAGATTTCGCATAACAAATACACTGTTTGTCTGAGGTCGTGAGAGAGACTATCAATCGTATACATTCACTCGTAAAAGTTATTATTCGAGAAATTGCGTTTTACCTTCTTTTAAAGAAGATCTAAAAAGACTTTTGGAAGAGAATGGAGAATAAGGAAAGCCATTATAGCCAAATTAAGAGAAACTCATAAACGTTATTATCATAATATAAGAGTAAACAAACTTTTCCACGCAGATGTCGCAAAATAGTGATCCTAAATAGAAATCTTAAAACTTTTTAAAGTCTTTCTGTGAAAGTTAAAAGACAGAGAATCTCCTGATAAAGTCATAGACAATTTATTTAGGTTACAATGCAAGCAGCGATTTTAGCGTTATTGCAATCTTGTTCCCAGCTAATTATGCAGTTGTAGAGTTTACCGATCAACGATCAGATAATTGCGATATCGTAGACTCGTGCAACGATAGGAGACCGCCAATCGATGTTACCGAAGATATACCGTTACCTGCCCGTCACTTTCGGGCGTCCATTGACGAGCATGGAAATTGGAACCGTGTCACCGGAAGTGGGGCTTTCAGTAGTGGCGAGCGTATAACGAGTAACGTGTTGGAACCCTCTATGGATACTGCAAACGGGAAACCCTTCGTTCATCAATTTGACGCTTAATGTAATTATCATGAAGTCAATTAATAACACGATTTGGAATACGAATACTTAACCCAACCTCGAATCGGCATTGCACTTGATCAACCAGAGATTATTGATATCCTAAACTATGTGAAATAATTCTAACATAATAGTAATTCTAACATAGTATTTATATTTAAATAAGGATTGCCTAGAATTTTATTCATCGGACCATTAAATGTTTCACACGATTCGTGCGAGCGCCGTTTGTACATCCTTCGCATTGTTTCAAATTGATTAAAAGGGAACGTTAAACAATTTGCGGTATCGAGGTCAAAGTAGTATCATTAAAATGTAGGAGTGGCTATCGGATTAATTCAATATTTTATTATCTCATATGATATTTTAAATTTAACTTGACATATTATTTTAATAATTTTTAGATCAGACATTTTAATAAAGACATAAAGTATAAAGAAAATTTGTTCAAATAATATTTATTTAAAAAATAAATCATATGAATTAGTGAAAAAATCATGTTGCATAAATTTAATTAATTTCAATTAATTAACATTATTTTCTTCTATCTGTCTGTTGCAAAAGATTAAAAACTGTTGCAGGTAATACATATAATTACATTACACGATATTCTTAACTTTTATAAAAAATTTTATGAACACGTGTGTGTGTGTGTGTGTGTGTGTGTGTGTGTGTGTGTGTGGTGTGTGTATGTGTATACCTTTTTTAGAACAGGCATGTATTGATTTTTATTGTATATAATCACGTAATGATACAAGATTATTCAAGTTGCATTTTTATTCGGCAGGATAAAGTCAAAGAAGGAAAAATGAAGCACTATAATGAGACACTGTAATCTTTTCACAAAAGGAGAATCTATTAATCTTCAGTCTTTAATTTCATTTATTGCTTTCACAACTCTTCGCAAACTGATTTCTTTACAAATAGAAATTTTTATTATTTCACATAACATCATTTGCACATGATTCACACGCTTGATTAGTCTTATTCGATATGGTTTCATTCTTGATATATATTAATGAATGTTGTTTGCTTCAAATGGCACATCCAGATGATTTTTTCGGGAGCGACGTATATAATAACTATTTTATTCACGTGTATAAATCAAAGTCTACGCCATACGGCCAGCTCGTAAATACTTCCAAATAAATTATCTTAAGCTATAGCTACGCGACAGTTAAGTCGCGTGCTTTTCACTGAACACTTTTGACAATTTTCGTTCACGACAGCCAATACTCTATACGTTCGGTTTATCGCACTTTCACACGACCCGTTGTAAATTTCTCACGCTTGCTGGTTAATAATTAGTGCGAAATTGCGATTTCATGCGAACGCGTTGAGTCGATTTCCTCTTCCATTCCCTTGTAATAACACGGGTCGATGGTTATATTTCTCAATTCTTATTCCATCGGAATCGATGCTGGAGCGAGCCATCGAGAATGCTCGATTGACGTGCGAGCGATCTCATGGCCTATTGTCTAATTTATAAAGCGACAATGGTCAATAAACAAATGGTCCTCTTCGTACAAGACGCTCGTTTACGCAAAATAAACGCAACGCTTTACGACACATGTGCGAGAAACAGTTTTTCCACTCACGACATTATTCACCTACGTGAGATCGGAAAACTTGAGATCACCATTTAGTACGTGGATTGAACATAGGAATCGTACAATATCCTCCGGGAATACTTAAAACTTGAATTTTGGCCGGTGTCACGGAAGAAGGCTGCTTCTCACTGGCCTTTTGTTATAATCATCGTCTATGTCGTGGAGATCAGGTGGGTCCGCGAAACCGCTGTCCTCGTAACGGGTACAACGTGAACCGGGCGATCTCGGCGGATGGACTGGATGAATGCTGCAACAAGAAGAACCGAGAATAATGCAAATACTTGAATCGGGGATGTGGAAAAACATAAAAAATTATATAACATATAATTTCTATAAACACAAATTTTTATTAATAATAATTTTATTTTTATCCTAAAAATCACGTATTACATGTAACGATTATATTTGCAAAATTTTGTTTCAAATGTATCATGAATGCAAGAGAGAGAGAGAGAGAGAGAGAGAGAGAATCATCTAACAATTCTATAATATAAATACTTCTTGAAAGTAGTGTGGAAACAAAGTCATGTGATATTATTCAAGTAACACATCGATAAAGTTAAAAGAAAATTTAAATTATGGAAAATACAATGATATTTGCTCTTATCTGATTATTACCTGGTGCATCTCGAAGGACTCGTTTCCAAAGGCTCGTCGTATCTACGGGAGAGCATCGTAAAGTCTCGATGAGCCGCGACCATTTTCTGTAGTCGCGAAATGATCTCGTAATCGGGCGTGCAGATTGGCTCTGACAATAACTTCGCCACGGAGACGCGGAAGCTCTGAAGCTGAGACAGGAAATGACCAATTTGCGAATTGAATCATGCTTGTAACTTATAGGTACTCGGACAATCGCGCGATTCATTCGAGCATCAACTGTTCTATCATAAATTTTGCGCATTTACAGACAATTGTTTCTAACTATACAGGCAAAACGTAAATATTTCAATTGTTATAGAATATTTTTATTATATATAAATAAATTATATATAAATACTTAGTACAAAGAAATTATTTTATTTCGCGCAGTTTACAGAATTAGATATATATGTGTATAAAATTCAAATATTCAATATTCAAATATACATGTGTATAAAATTAAAATATTCAAATACTAAGATTAATGATACCGTAGACTTTCGTTACTTAATTGTGTGTGTCATGCATCACGATTTTATAACACTTTATTTATATTAAATTATATTATATTTTATGTTGTACATAAAATCCAATTATTTTTGCAGATATAATAATATTGTACGTTGATTAAAGTTTACGATTTTATATTAGAGAACCGACTAAACTTTTTCTATTTGAATAATAGTATTTCTCTTTCTATTTGTCTTTCTTTATTTATATTTTTCTGAATTTTTCAAATGTTGTTTTAACAGTTTTATGTGATAAATACGAGAGTATTAAGATTCAAGTGCCTTACTTATAATTTATTATAATTAATGTTCGTTTGTTCGAACTAAATCAAAGTTTCGCGACGCTTCGAAAAGCGAAGTTACGGCAACGACGGGATAAAGCCTCGCGAAATCGCATGCAAGATTTATAGTCCTTTCACGGAGTATGCCGCAGCGCGGGTTTAAGTCCAAGGAGCTATCTGCTTTACAGCCCGGCGACGTGCGAACGTGTCTCGAATTATTATGATAGTAGAATCAACTCCAAATCGCTCTAAACGAACGTTATGCGCCCAACGAGACAAAGAGACAATTACGCAAATGATCGTCGTCGCGAGTCATTGGAATTGCTACAATGAATTAACGAGTCCCTTTTGATCTTTACCTCCGAGGAATAATAGAAATAAGCTTTGCTAAAGGCGCTTGCCTCTTTAATAAGAGATCAAAGTGTTTTAAATTCGCAACAAAGTATTTGTAGATGACGGAGAAATAATGAGATGATTTCTGCAAAATAAGTAAATTTGTATCATAATTAGCTTTCTTTAACGCTTTTTTGCAAAGAATTAAAACAACTTTATATACACTTTTCTCTTTCTCGGGAGAAAATGTGTATTACAATATTTCAATGTTTAGGAAAAACTTACGTATTCTTTGAGAAATGAAAATTCAAGAAATACATGTGTAATGCATCGAAGCAGTTGTTTGTCTACGATGCAACGAACGTCCGATCGAATGGTTGTTTCGACAGCGACTTCTTTTGCGTAATTTAATCGCTCGTACACAATCATAAATCAGAATTACGTGAATACCAATACGCGTGCCGAATACACAATCTGGCATTGAGACGCGGTTTTCGCCTTTTACGTTTTTCGACCGATAAAGCAAATGTCGCACGACGCAATTTCTTAATATTAATTCATTTCAGCATTCGTTTCGACTAACAAATTTATTTTACTTTTTATATAATAATAATAATAGTATATCTCACTTTTATTTGATTTCATTAATGGAATATCAACGCGGATTTACAGATAGTGGTAAATTCAAGAGATGGAATAGCACATGATATTTGACACGTACAAAAGTAATAATGCATCTCACCTGGGATTCTCGCCTCGTGACCTCAGAGAGATTTTGCTTGACCTGAGCCATCTCGTCGCGGAGGAGCTGTAGGGAATGGTCGTTTATCGATCTCTCCTGATCGGCTGTCTCCGCAGCCGTCCTCATCTGTTCCTTCGCCATCGTCAACTTTCTGTTGTAACGTGTCCTTAACATCTCGCTCTCGACGAGACGTTTTTGAAGCTCCTCTATCTTCCGGCTGCGTTCCAGCGCAGCTATCTGCTCGCAGAAAATATCGAAAAATGAATTAAAATATCTACTCGATGGCTGCAAATTATGAAGGCTTTCTCGCGCGGTTTGCGAAGAGAATTTATTCGGGAATTTTGTTTTCCCGACGTACGCCACTTCGCAACGTTCTCGAGCAAAAAATCGATTTAACGAGGCTTTCTATAAAAGCCTAGAATAGAAATTTTAAATTATTTAAAAAATTGAATGAAGTATTTCGTTTACTGGAAGTAAATAAAATCTTATGAAATAATAAAAATTTATAAATGCATTAAAAATTAATGCAGCCAATACATTTCGCTATTCAACAATAAATCACTTTTTTTTCTTCGAAGTGCATATATACCTCAAAGATTTTTTCATAAATATGATATCAATGGCAGAATTTACGTAATAAATCAACACACATTTTAATAAATTAGTAATAATAAATTAGGATGATTTTTGTTCATTTCTTCTTAATCTATTAAAAACTCCTAACATAAATTCTGATGAAGGCATCGTATTCAGCGCGAAAAAAAATCTTCGGAGTGTGGCACTTCGTGGCAAAATTGGGATATTTATTTAACAGTCATTAACTTCATGTAGCTGTGACGAAATTACATTGTCTAGACCGCATTATGTTCCACATGTATTCCTCAGAACTCAGAGAGCACTCCGATTTATCTGATTGTGAAAAAAGTATGGACACTCTTAAAATTACATACCTTATAATCCGCGGCTTCCGTCAGTTGTGCGCTCAATTCCCGATTCCGAGATTTTTCGTCCGACAATTGGATCTGAAGTCGATCGACTTGTTTGCCCAGTTTCTTTGCGCTGAAAGAAGAGAAGAAAGAAGTTCATCGAGCATTAAGAGAAACGATGCCTAACATATAATAATGAACGTAGAGAGATATACTCGACACATTTGAAATAAACCACGAATTACTGTCAGAAATTATAGATAACCACCGGTGACCACTGCGTGCAAAAATCACACCACATCTCGGATGCATAAAGCCACGCACTATCGGTCAGTAAAATTTTCCAATAAACCGCAATTCTATATATATCTCCCATCGAACTAGTCGATAGGAATTGTATCCGCTAACATTGCGTGTTCAATAGAAATATTGGAGACGATTGTAACACGAATTAATTATTGTAATACTAGCAATAGCCAGTTTTAATTATTCAAGATATAAATAGATAATCTTCGCAAACATCATAATTCCTCGCGGTAATTATCTATTTTCGTGTGATGCACAAGAAAGAAAAATAGAGAGAGAGAGAGAGAGAGAGAGAGAGAGAAGTATATAATTGTGTGCAAATATTAATTTTTATAACTTATTATATATCTGCGAAAAGCAAATTCAAAGTTTGTTTAAAATTTGGTTACAACCGGCCCCAGGCTATTCTAAAACAAACCGTATATTCGCCTCGTCTCGCTCGCTCTGCAATAGCGACTTCATCCTCACACTGTCCTCTTGTAGAGATAGCTTTCTACGTAGAAGGTCCAAATGCAGGTCCCTGCGCTGCAGTTGCTCCCGTAAGGTTCGAACGCGACGTTGCAACTGATAAACAACTGATGTCTGCAAAACAAAGAAAAAGAAGACCACATTTGTCGAGTTCTTCTTAGCGGCAAAGACGATAAATTTCTCAAATGTAGCAATGTGCAAATACCCATCACTACACAACGCAAACATATCGACATCATCTAGTTCTTCGTGCAATCAATAATTTGGTTTTCTAACACATAAGTCTTGAAAAATACGACGAGTGACATAAAATAATAGTGAAAAGTATTAAGTGGAAATTGATCAAAAAATTTTGTAACGATCAAAGCGGATCTTGGTGCTTAATAATATTGTAAAAATAATATTGTAAAAGTTTATACAAAAAAAATTATTAAATAAGCTCTGCTTTGACCAAATATGGCCTTTTTCGCTTATTTGTGTTGAAAATAATGACTTCTTCATGCGTATTATGATTTTTTTATTGTCAGGTTAAATAAGCAATGTATAAAATACAAATTCAATTTTCACGAAATGAGGGAACATTCTGTTAAAGGAAAAATCTGTTTTTACTGACACGTTATCGGAGATTATTTAATTAAAAGTTAGTACGCCGACCAATGTTGGAAAGAACGACCGCAATATCAATGCGTTACTGACAGCACCATAGAAGCTGTATTAAATGGAACTTCATTACGCAGTATTTCCGATAAACTGTCAATTTGAAGCAACAATTATGTCGCAAGCAAAGCTCGACCACTGTCCGACTCAACCGCAAAGTATATCAGAAAATCTAAGAGGAATGGAGAAATGAAAAGCGCCTCTCTTTCTCTCTCTCTCTCTCTCTCTCTCTCTCTCTCTCTCTCTCTCTCTTTCTCTCTCTCTATGTTAAGGATACTTCACGATGAAGGAATGAAATGAATGTCTACGAAGAGGATGCCTGAAAATTCTATGAAGTTTCTCTCTAAAGCGCTTTGCTTGCGCCAAGGGCTTACTTCTTTGAGACAGGGAAGCTCGTGGAATGATCGCTCGCGTCGAATCCTCGGTAAGATCGTGTAGCTGGAGTACAAATACTGTGACGTGTGGTAAGTACACACGATTTGCACGATAAAGAAACACAAAACAAAGGAGAAAATGTTAGCAACGTGACAGCGGCATAAAAAAAAATGTAATATCGATCGCCCTTCACCTTGTCGACTAGTTTGTCGGTCTCCAATCTGGCTAATTGCTCAGCTCGTACCAACAATGACTCAGTTTGAAGATCGAGTCCGATCTCCTGAGAAATCTCATCCATTTGCATCGCCTTACCCAATCGATCCAGAAAGGTCATGAACTGAACAAATTTATAACAAGATTAGCTTTAAAATGCTTCAAAGAATAAACAATATGTTAGCTTAAAAATAAATATTTTTCAGAAGTTTATGAGTAGAAATTTATGACTAAAAAATCAAATTAGAAATTTCTGAAATATTGTTTCAATTATTGAAACTACTTTCTTAAATAAAGATTTATTATATTATTTCATTCAAAGAGACGAGAATAGTTAACTATATAGTGTCTTTAAATCCTCGTTATTTCCTTCTCTATAGGTACTATGTGTCAAGATTGCTTTAACATTTCCAAGAGATAGAAGCATTTGAAATTACCGTCTGCTTGTCTCTGCGTAAAGACTCTCTGGAGAGATCGCTGCTCGTAAGTTCAGATTCGAGTTTGTGTATTTTAGCTTCTTGAGCTGCGCGTTCCTCCTCTAAACTGCGTACCTTCATCATTGTGGATTCGACCAGTTCACTCTGTCGATTCGTTGACTCTGTCGCCGTGTTCACTTTTTCTCGAAGACTTTGTATTTTCTAGAAAGAGAAAAGGAGCACAATATAGCGAATTTCACAATATTGTGTACATTATATAAAACCGAACGTTTCAATATATGAAGTTCCTCAATATGAAGTTTCGATACAATTCTTAATAATTAAACAACATTTAAATAAAACAAAATAAAGTTGTTAAAATTTAAAAAATCTTGATCTTTTGCAAGCAAAAGTATAAAGTTACACGCGTTCTATTTTTTTGAATAACTACCAGTAATTGATCCTTATTGTCAGCTAGAATTTCTCGAATGCGATCTTTGATCGCATTTTCGTGAGACTCGACGAATCGACTTGGTGTACTGATAAGAATCGCAACCGATTCTAGAAGGTGACGGAATTCATTTTGTACACGTTGCGTCTTCTCTTCGCGAACTTTCAGATCCTCTGCAAGAACGATATAGGTTATCAATTAAGATACAAGACTGAATCAATGTGATTTACCTCGTAATTGACAGATCAACGCCTCTTGATTGGATATATTCCCAGTCGCGCTGGTTAAGCTCCTATTCGCATTGACGAGTTTGTCTCTCAGATCATTCATGTCCTTCTCAGCGATCCTATATTGCATTTCCAGACATTCCTTTTCCTAGAATAATGGAAATTAATCAATATTTGATAATTTAATGGATTTTAATTGCTTGAAATAATTAAAATAATGCTACATTCACAATTTCTGTAGTAATTTTCTGTACGTTTGTATAATTAAATTTACGAATAAGAGGTTCTTTCAAAATTAATCATAAATCAAATCTTAACCATCATACCTGGCGCAAACGATCTATGTCGACTAACTGAACTGACACTTGTCTCTGTAATTGCTCCTTTTCCGTAATAGAACGATCAAGAGCGTCCCTGCAGGTTCTAAAATCTACTTCGACGCCCGTCAACTGCGTCTCGACATTTGTGCTCTTTGTTCGCAAACGATTCACTTCTTGCACGAGTTCCTCGGCTTTATGAATCACCATCTCCGGACTGTGATGCACCGTCTCGCAGTACTCAACGTTTAATGCGTGTGCCAACCTTCGCACGAAATCCTATGAAAACAGATAGTAGAAATCTTATGAAAACAGATATAAGATATCTGAAAAGATAGAGGATGTACCGAAAAAACAGTTTGAATACAGAGACGAAAAATTGATACGATTTTTCTATGAGAAATAAATGGAGATGTCGACAGCTTGTCAAGAGGAATGCATTTTGAAACATATGGCACCTGCAGATTTAGACGTGCCCGTTCCTTCAATTGAATTTCCTCGGATATATTGAGCTCCAATTGTCGCATTTTTTTGTCGTACTCTCGGACCTTTTCCTCGTGATACTTCACGTCACGTTGCAGACCCTGTATCGTGATCTCATTTCTGCCCTGGGACGCATAGAGGTTTCTTTCCCTCTCTTCCAATTCCTGAAATCGTTATTGGATTCTACAAGATATATATGATCTGTCGACTGCAGATTCCGCGAGTTTCGTTATCTTTTTTAACGAAAGATAGCTGAGATGGAAGAAACGAATTATCTTGAAGCTCATTAACGCAAGAACCCTTTAATCGTCTGCTTGTTAGGGAAGAAAATTAACCTGAATGCGTTTCTTGAGACTGGAGATGACGGCATTCTGCCTGGCTGCTTGCTCGCGAAGCTGATCCGCCTCTACTTGTAACTCCACAACCCGCTGGTCCCGCGATCTCACGGTGCTTTTCATTTCCTGTAGCTAAATGAGGACCGAATTGATTACTAACGATTATCGAAGCGGTGAAACGATAGGTTTACCTCAGACATAAGCCTGTCCCGTTTATATTCAAGAGCCGCCAGCTCGCTCCTCAAAGTGGTCATTAAATCGTGAGTCATAGCGTCATCTGGGTCCACCTAAAACCAGGTATTCAATTAACCATTATCAAAAACTCCGATATGGATATATATATATTTTATACTTTATATTTTATCGCTCTTTTCAACATATCACGAATGATTTTTATATAAAGAAATCAAATGCTAATTTGAATTATAAATGAAATTGAGAATATCATGATAGCCATTAAATTACATTTCTATTCGTGTCTGAATCTACATTAAACGATTAAATAATCTTGCTTGCAAAAATGCGAGTCGGCCAGTGATTGCATTTACTTATTTATTATGTTTATTGCGATTCCATTTATGAATTTCCTAGTATGATTACATTTTATATTCGGAATAATAATTATTTTAAATTATCGTATACCGCACAATGTATACTGTAATTGTTGAATTTTATCACAGGCAAGGAGATTTCATCGTAAAGAGTCATTTTATTTCTCGAAGCTTCCTGCGAGATGGAGGGCTTAATGGCAAAACGCTCGTTTAAACGGGAATAGATTAACGACGGTCTCCGCGGCATGGCTTCTGAAGTTCTGACCTTTCTCTCGTTCGGAGAGACTGCAGGATTCGCAAGTACCGGTACTGATGACGTCTCTGCCGGCGGCTCGTAATAATACCCATTTAAGCTTCCACGCGTGTACGAAGGAAACTGTACAAGATAACATATTCCTCGTTGCTATTATGCATGTCTACCTGTTTGGAAAATTGCCGGAGAATATCGGCCGCAGTATGGGTAAGTTATAGCTTGTTGGTAGCTATTTTTAGAATGGTATTTCGAATCATCTATTTTAAAATTCTTGGCTCGAATTAGAAAACTTTCACGCTAGTTACTTTGAGACGATATAATATTCTAAGAATAAATTTCATTATTGATATGATATTAAGTGTAATATCTTCGATTGAAAATAGTTCTGATTTGACTTTGATTTTTTTTTAATATAAAAACTGATCATCATCCACGTTGCCCTGAAAAGTTATGCTTTAATCTTACATTAAATTTATAAATAATTGCAGAATGATTAAATTATCATTAGTTAAGAAGGACGCATGTCATTCAAAATGAGACGGATGAATCGTATTATAATTATTAAGAGCACAACGATACAGTTAAATATTTATCGACAATATTGGCGCCAATTATTGCCATCCTAATTAAATATTTATCGACGATAACTGATCTCCATTCATGCGGAGTCGATTGCTTTTATTTCTTTTTGATGCTGATTTATATTCGACGCGATTAATTACTTTTTAACAAATCCGGCTCATTACGGGATCTACAACGAAATTAAATATATCCTGTCGAATCACTCATGTGATCTAAAATTAAAACCAAGTACACGCGTCCAAACTCGTTTCGCCGTTAATTACAATCGTAAGCGGATTTAAAGCTTAACGTGTAAGTCTTTTTATATTCGTTGTTTTTTTACCCATTTCTCTCGATCTTATCCGCGAATTTGCAAATGCGAGCGTACTGTAATATAACTTCGTGATAACTATCTCAATTCGTTCAAATGCAAATGAAAGGTAGAAACAGAATCATCGTGGAATAAACACAGTGCAAAGTTTTGTAAATGGAAGCATTTTCATGCATACGAAATTCACTAATTACGTATTCGCTCTATTACTGGTGCATCTATAATACTTGAAGCTGATTGAATTGTATGTATTATACATTGAAAAAGCATATTTTACATGATAATCCGAATCTTCACGCAGTGAATTAAAAGAAATTTAAAAAGCAAATTAATTTAATAATCTTATAATCTTATGATATTATTTAATGTAATAATAATAATATTATATATATTATCAAATATATTATAATAGTATGCAGTAATATTATATAAAATGTTAGTATTTTCAATAATTTTATAAAATTGTTTCTACGTAGAGCATGTTTCGCCAATTATTCCCGTCGTCAAATCGATCTCGTCGTAACTCGCTCCACGTAACAAGGCTCGTTCAAAAACATGATCAACTCTACCTCGTGTTGCCCGCCGGATCCATATCGCAGATTCCCGTAGGAATTTCCGCTACACGATCGTGCGCGACAGCGCTTCGTATTCCCCGAAGCACCCCGTGCTCTTGATCCAGATAGTACTCAACGGAGTTCGCACTCGAAGTCCGAATCGTGGCTAACGTTTCCGACTGCGCAAAGAGAAGAGAGAGAACGAGGGTGCATCGTAGGTAAGCCTCTACCATCGCCAATTTCCAAGGCAATTGGATGCGCGCGGCACAGACAGTTACGATGGTAAAGTTTCGTCTGCCTACGACAGTGGATTACGTGACCCGAATCCACCGATGCCGCCACTATCATCCTGGAACGAGCAACCTCACGACCCTCGTCGCCCTTCGCGACCTCGTCCAGGTATTTGTATCTGCACGCGAAAATCTATGCTCGCGAAATCTACGTCAGCTGCCAGAGCAAGAATGTTACCCTGGAACTCGGCACAATGGAATACGCTTCCCGAATTTACGTCAGCGTTTCTACAATGATACTTCTCGATGGTATCGCCATTGATTCCACATCGTAAACCTGAATGACTACTTTGACTAATGCGGATATAAAGATACGAAAAGACATATACTCTATAAAACTTTTAGAGCGAAAGCTCACTTTAAAAAGTGAAATCTCGCTCTTAAAGATTGAAAATTGAGTCATTCTTTTTTAAGATTAGCTTCATTTCCTTGTGAGATTCCAGGATTTAAAGGATTTAGAGAGAATATAATACGAATAGTTAAATTCATAATTTTCAATTCAATTAGACACAATTTCAGTTATTTTTTATCATTTCTATAGGTCGTCACTCCTATCTAATATATGTTAATTTGACTAACTTAACTCAAGAAAATAGAATATTGAATTTAGTTTACTAAGTGCATAATTAATATAGACGATGTTTACTTTGAAACTAACTAACAAAAATGGATTTACATTTTGACATAGATGGAAGTTAAAAATAACAAAATGTTATTTAACTCAAGATATTGAGTTATCATTGCTCATTTGATATTTAACTCCTACTTTCTTTTTAACGACTCCTCACTGATTAAATAAAGCTTTCAATATCACTTGCATATCAGTGATGACGTCAAAAGGAAAATCCTTCTCGCACAAATATTGCATTCGTTCAGGGGATGAATTATAACGTCTATCGCGCTCCGTTTAGACGAAGGGGATATTTAATTCAACGCGCTTTATTTTCCTGGGAATCAAATTGAAAAAATCTGGATCCTACATTCGCTATGATCAATTATCTCGTGATTTAATTACGCGACAGGTCATCGACCAGGAAATACGCGAATCGTTATCGTTATCTGCATGACCCGAAAATAGTTTCGTTGCGTGGGTGGGAGATAGTACGGTTTTGACGGGGCGCATATTCCCGCAACCCTCGGAATACCGTGAATTTCCATGGTGTGGTTAAGTCCAACGATATTGAATACCTATTATTCTACCGTTCATAAATATCCCAATGGTCTCGGGACAGTCGGGATCCGTGCGGGAAAACGATCAGCGTGCGAGCCCGACCTATTTACCAGCGGTATTTACCTCAAAGCGCGCATGGGATTACAGCGAATCCCGCTCGCTGGTAGATACACCGTGCACGTACTAGTAGAAAAAAAAAAAATTGTAAATTTGCCACCAGGGAGATGGTTTTCTGCAGTGTCATTTCGCGAGTAACGCGCGAACTCATGATTTCGCGCAACCGTAATAACATCGCAGTAAAATCACAATGAGAGTACGTGAGCGTGTTGAGAAATACAATACTGGTAATATAATTTAGATCTCCGCTAAAAACTGACGATATCTCGTGTGTGTCTTATAATTTTGCAGTCCATTAAAAGCTAAAGGATCGATTAAAATAAAAAAAATGAATGTACGCGCCTGCAACATTTTTTTATAATGTAAATGGATGTGTAATTGCACTGAAAAAAAGAGTCTGATAGTAACTATCAAGTATTGTAAAATAATTTTATTTAATCGATTGTTCGATTGATGTATTATATATAAAAAAATTTTTTAATATATATAGTATAACTGAAGCAATGTTATTTTTGTGAATTTAAGTCGAAGGATTTTTTTAATAGTTAAAATTCAATATTGCATATACGATATTTTAGAAAATTGCGGCCGGATGGTATCTATTTTTAACGCAATATACTAACGTGTTCGATCAGCATGATATTGCAATAGCGATGATATATTAATATATGTATATGTCGGACAGTTCGAATTTTGCTGTAAAGCGTGTGCACATGTAAGCAGAATTTGCAGCATAAACACAGTGCATGATTATGCTTACTCGGTTTTTGTATTTCGCCGATGAAGGTTTATCAGCATTTTTCTTTTTACTAAAATGCATAAGTGAACTCCCTTTGCTGAAGTTTCATATGAAAAACAATGTATTGCATGTATTATATAAACAGATAAAATTCCCCAGATAATATTATAGCATTTAGCATTACAACGAAAACGTGGATTCCTATATTTTTAATTGCATTACGCAAAACAATTTAATTATATTATTTAATTATTTAAGTTTTTCTCCATTTTTTTCTTGTACAACTACATATTTTAAACATTACGACATACATTACATCGAATTTGGGAGAGATAGCAACAAGAAAGGATTTATTACTGATACTCGTAAGCCGGAATCTCCATATAATTAAAGTTACAATATCAGTATGTTAATGTGATAGCAAATATAGAATATCGCATTGATCCATTCTTTCACGTGATTGTAGAAGGGAAATGCATCAGAAATAATCAGTTATCAATACTTAAACGATCAATGAATACATTTGTATGTTTAATTATACAGAATAAATATAATTTTTATATGCATATCACATTTACAGGTAATTTAAAAAGAGTGATGTACGCAATTAACATAAAGAAAATATCAGAATATTAACAGTTCTCTCAAGAAGAAACGAGAATAATTTACATTCATATTTTTATGTATCTAATTAATGAATCATTTAGCAAATTATTATATTTTATTATTAACATTTCATTTCATTAAATTATTACGTACATACACATTTTTGTAATTAAATTATAGCGAAATGGCATAATATTATTAACAATAACATATGCACAAAAAGCGTTTGCAGTTTTTATTGAGAAAGAAAGAGCAAAAATAAGTAAAGTAAAATGTTTTTAATTTTTCAATCTCGTCATTGGTCATAAATAAAATACTAGAGCAAGCTAAGATAAATTTCCAAAATCCACAGAATCAAAAATGTCCCCGAAAGGAAAGCATGCACGTATTCTCAAAAATCAAAGAGCCTGATCGACCTAGAAAGAAATTTGAGATGAATTAAAAATATCGGGACATCGATAAAACTGGATTTAATGAATCCTGCGAAATCCTTCCTCCAATCACGCGCCGGAATAAGACATATCAGTCCCTTCTATCAGCCATGCCTAATAACGTAAGATCGACTTCGAAAGCACGCGACAGCGCGAGTGGTCGACAGCTGGAGTAGCAGTGACAGGTGAAATCGATTCGATGCAACGCTATGGCAACGCGACCCTTGTTCACGCGCGAGTCGATACGCGCTTGCGATTCGCGCGTGTTGAGCAAGAGACTGAAAGGGACCGAAAGGGAGCGCTAATGACGAACGTGACGGAATCCCACGTGCAATTCAATGTGCGAGTTGTGTAATTAAATAACGGCGCAATCGCTGGGAGATACATTTTCGAGCGAACGAAGAATATCATGAATTCCCGATTCTCAACTAGAAATAATAATAATACAAAATTCGACTGATGAGAAATAAATTTAATTAGAATAAATCTAAGTAAGAGAAATCCTATTTTAAAGTGAATCTTGGTGCTTAAATATTGAATACGTGTATATATTACTATTCCAATTCTGTTTATGATTGCGTTTTAAGATTGAAAATATTTTAGCACACAATTTGCAGGATTGAATATGTATGTAAATTTACACTGCGAAATATTTAAGCAAGATCCACTTTAACTGGAAATAGAATTTTCCTTACATAATTAGAAATATTAAATACGCATTATTAGCATGTGTCGTATATGTGATAGTAACAGAGTTTGTATCACATGAAATAAATAATTAAAAAATATTGGACATCACTTTCTGTGCATTTCTTTATTTTTAATTCACTGATGAAATTTAATGAATAATCTGTAATTATTGCAAAATCCTTTACAGGTGCTTCACACATATATTCTTTGTAATTTCTGCACTAGAGTAATTTTAAAAGCTGAATGCATTAAAGAGGAAGAAGAAAGCGTATTTGGGCAACAGAAATTTACATAATCTAAATCCTGTTTTTTTTTACCCAACATTAAAACGACAAAAAACAACGCATTTCCCACATTTTTTTAGAATGCAGAAGTGTCACGAGCTAAAACCTCCCAGATAAGCAAGAAATGCTGCGAGCTTTTTGTCGCCAGACACGTTTATATTGCTCAAATCTGACTCCTCAAATCTGCTACGTAAACTCTCCGATTATGAATGTCTAAAATTTTTCAAGTAAGAATTTGCATATCATTCAGTATTTCCAAAAACTATAGTATGTTTTTCAAAAATGTTCAAATTAATTTAATATCTATGTAATTTAATAATAAAAACTGAATTTAATAAATAATTCAATAATTTGTACGCTCACACATGAATAGTATTATCACTATAATAAGTAAATCTTTATAATAAATAATAGGAGAAATCTAAATTTCTTCATAACCCGAGACATGACCAATCAATCAAAAATTATTTAAACGATATCCAAATTCTTATTTGAGGAATTCTATATGCTTCGCCGAAAGCTGATCAGATGATCGAACTCAAAGTGACGAAAGTGAATCAATCAAATAATTATAATTGATTGTATGATCAATAATCGTATGTTTCCGCTATCGATTTGTTGCCCTTCGATAGACACGCCGTGTACATACATATAGGCATGTATACAATGAGAGGCTTTGTGGCGAGCGATACGGGATGTGCACGTGACCACACGTGCGATTAGCATGTGAATACGTATGTGCATGTGCATGTGGATGTACGTGATGCAATGGCAGAGGGACGATAAGCCATTGATGTAGTTCACGGTATAGCGCATCTACAAACTCGTTCGAGCTTGCGACATTCTGTGTATACCTACGAGGTATATTTCGCAATAAGAGATAGCAACTTGTTACACATATTGAAGTACGTGCTCAAGTTATTATACACATAAAAGGATATCAGCATGATCTCAATCATGGCCTTAATTATATAAGTAAGTTTCAGCGTAATAAGCCTAATTGTAAATATAAGCCTTAATTATACATCATTACTTGCATTGCTATCTATCATTGGCGCAGCATTCATGTAATTACAAAGTTTGTTATGGCGGAGCAAGGAATGCGAGGATTCCATTCCCTTTAGTATTTCGGAGATTTACAGTTCAGACACAATGAAAGGAATAAGGAATAGAACGATAGATTTCGAACCTATTAGAAAGTGCTGTGCATTGATACACGGTCTCTGATAAATTGAAGTCAATGGGAAATTTTTGCAATAACGTGAATCCAGATGATAGTGAACGCTAAAGTCATGTTATCCTTTTCCTCATTAGTTGTTAAAAAAAAAACCTGATCTTAGCTTATTGCAAAAATTCCCTATTATCCTTTATTTCTTCTATTATCCAAGAAAAAGTGAACAAAAAATCAAAATAACTTTATTTTTATTCTTAATGTCGATAAACAGTCAAATTTTGTAACTAAGACATCATTTTTTTTACTTGCATGACATCAAAATAAAGTTTTGACTTTCTCTTGACTTTCTCTTGATGTGTTTCTTGGGATGTGTTTACACTCTAATTTTGCAATTTTCAGCGGACATTGCTGATTCTCCACGCGCAACCCTCAAGCCCTAGACACAATATGAGATAACAGCAATAAGAATAGCGATAGGAATAGCATAGAAATAAGCGATATATAATTGTCGCTTTTCGTTGCACAAAGTCACGAAAGAAATAAAAATGCCAATCAATCTAATCTCATATATAGACCGTAATATATTCTTCCATCTATTTCAAGATTATAGCATATATAGCAGAATGAAAAATCTGAACGCTGATTGGTAGACTATAAGGCGATAGAATTCCAACTTGGAAATTTATCGCTATTGCTTTATTCTATGTTTCTATATGCATTGATATATATATTGATATATATTGTATTTCTCTGTTCCTATCGCTATCGCTATTGCTATCGCTATTTCTATCGCTGTTGCTTCGCATTATATTTAGAGCTTTATTGTATTACTGTCGCATGCGCGCAGAGAGCAATGTTTAGCCAGTTCTACATTAATTGCAAGTCGATCGCAAGTTTGTTGCGACAACCAATATGAAACGTTGATTTCAAAATGCAAGCTTCAGATTGGCTGTTGCAACAAACTCGCAAACTAATGTAGAACCGGCTTTTCGCGACGGCGTGCGTGCGTGTGCTTTCGCGAGAGTATGCGTGCAACGTGATCGTCGGATGATGTGACGGTGTGAGAAGGGGCGGCGAAGTGCCATCGATTGACCTTCCGAGGCGAGGAGATACGGAGCGTCTCGAAGATCCTTAGGTCCTCCTCGGCCGTCTCCTCCGTCTCTCGCGCTTCTTGCGTCTCGACGTCGTCGGACGCCATCCCTCTTCCGTCCTAGAATGTCTGGTGAACCGCGTGTTCTCCGCGTGAATTCTGCAAGCGGAGAAAAACGAGAGAGACGCACACGGCACGACCTCACCGCGAGAACAACATCTCCAACGTACAATAACGAACAACCTGCGTGCGACGGCGACACCGACGACGAGGCGCCTCCGCACCAAGCGGTATCGTTGAAACACCGACGTGCGTCGCGATGGCGGCCAACCGATCGAAATCGCCCATCGATCCGAAGAAAACGGCCGCGTGCCAAGCTCTTTGCGCGCGCTTCCTTCAGTGAGGGTTCATTTCATTCTTTCGACAGAAAGCGCGGTTCTTGTTGCGGAGATCGTGGACTCTTTTCGATTCAAACGGAACAAGTCAAATGATATTAAAACAAATGAATAAAATGACGTAAATGATCGAAAAGTAACTTATTTATTTTAGTGATTATTTTGATATTATGAAGTTTGTTTAGAATGAAATCTTTAAAAACTTTTGCAGTTAAAATAAGATATAAATATATATTCGGACGTTGAAAAAAAGAAAGATGCTGATCTATGATAACTTGTGTTCTGCTTAGATTCACACGAATCACAAAGATTAATCCTTTTCTGAAATTTTTTTGTCCATACTCGCGCAATTTCAGAACTTCATCGCAGAAGTCTTTTTGATCTTGTAATATGTTTTCTATACGATAAGTTAAAAAAAAAGCTGATTTATCTTCTTAACCATTCGTAATTTTAAAACAAATGTTGCTGATAATAATAATTCCAATTCGATTGTGATTAACAATATTTACATGACATGCGGGACATGCCGTAATATATCGAGTTAATAATTGATGATAAAATAAATGAATAAATGATAATAAGACATTTATATCGAAGTGTCCCAGTTTGTAATCTCTTTAAAATCACAAAATAATCTCTTTTTTTTATTGTTTATTTCAGTTGCACATCAGAAAATATAATACGGCGCTTGCTCTTTGAAATGCAGTATTGATTAACATATTTAAAGATATATAACGAAGTTTTAAATATAAACATACAATTAAGGAGCATACAACCACAACTTAAAATCTTCTGAGAGAGAAAGTAATGTATTTCGAATTAATACATTAAATAATAAAATTTGTACTAATTTTTTATGATTTTTATTATTTAATATATTAATTCGAAATACATTACTTTCTCTCTTAGAACATCTTGAATTATGGCAGTATGCTCCTTAATTATATGTTTATCTTATTAAATCATCCTCAAAAAGTTTAAATTTTTAAAATAACTCATGTTTTTTAATATAAATTATATTTATTTATGTGTTCAATAATTTGTATTAATGGTCATTTTTAACGTCAATTTATTTTTAATCATTTTATTTCATAAATTTATTAATATAAATTTATTGAAATACTATAATTACTTTTTTTTCTTAACACTGTAATTGTTTTCTGTTTTTAGAGGAAAAATTATATGTATATCTTTTATGTTAAAAATAAAGACTTATTAAAGTTGTAATCTTTTTTCCTTATTAATAATACAAATTTATTAAAAATTCTGTTTTTTTTTTTTAATTTTATTTACAGGAAGATAAAACAAAAGATAAAAGGAGATTGAAATTGTGCAATGCATTGCATCGAAGCGAAAGCTCAGAAATGAACAGGCTGAGCCATCTGTACGTACACGTTGACAACTCAGTTTTACCAATTTGCTATCTACATTATCAGCATTGGAAATTATATTGACTTATCAGATGAGCTGATAAAAATTGCTGTAGATTTCTGTACTAAAAGTTTCCGAAGTCTCACTGAACATTCTGCATTATCAATAACCTCATAGTTGAAATAAATCACCTTAGTGAGACTAACCTCAAAAAGAAAACTAAAACGATTATATCTAAAAACATTTTATGCACGATATTTTAGAAAGTATTTTTTTATGTGTTTCACTTTTATGTTTTATTGTGAATCAATCATTTGTTAATCACATCACAATTTAAAGAAATTTTTATCACCAGCACTCAAGTTGGCAATAGCCTGATATACCGCATGTTTACGACGTGTTTTTGACAATATTTGTTGTCTAAACGTGAAACACAAGTTAATTGTAGAAAAATGTTTTCCAGATTTTATAATTTGTATCAAAGAACTGCATTTATCCAGTTTACTCAACTACAAAGATGCTATGTAAGTGTGACTGTTCGCCTATTATTTATTTCATTATAGGAGCAAATATATATATTATACTCTTTTGCATCCAGAGAAGAGGTTCTAAAAAGAAAAATGTCAAGCGCACTGAAGCACCAAAAGATATAAAAGGAGAAGTACCGATAATCGTATGCAGACGAAAAGAGTTCAATTTTTATGAAGGGCAAGAATATTCCAAATATAAACCGATACCATTGGCTAGCAAAGGATGGCATCATTATAAATCCAAAGGAGATTATTTCTACATATATCCTCTCACGAATGTACATATTATTAATTTATTAAGTTTCCATTATTATTCTCCAGTGTTGTTTTTATTTAATTATTTTAAAACATGCTTTGAAATTTTTAGGTAACAAAGGAAGCATATGGTGAATCATTTAAAGAAAAAGAAAAAGAAGAAGAAGAAGAAGCACATGATTCATTCGAACATTTGGGCTTAAATCCACAAATAATAGATATCTTAAAAAGATATAGTATAACGAAACCTTTAAAAATACAAAAAATTGGGATACCCAAAATACTAAATGGAGCTAATACTGTCATAGCAGCAGAAACTGGTTGTGGAAAAACATTAACTTATCTTTTACCCATGATAGATGAAATTTTAAGATGGAAAGAATTAGTAGAGCATCAATACAACACTCCATTGGGATTAATTGTAACACCTACTCGAGAATTGGCGTTTCAAATAGGAGTTTGTATCACAGACGTAAAATTAATTTTGTACATAATGTAATTTACAGAAACATTTTTATAAATCACGCGTTTTTCTCCACAGTTGGAAGCAAAAAAGATATGCCAGTATCTTGGTATTCGTACAAAAATTATTACTGGTGGAAAAACAAAGAAAATAATGTTAGATCCACCTGTGAGAAAAGTTGATATTGTTATAGCTAGTTTTGGAGTCATCAGTAAATTAACTACAACCAAGATTTATAAATTGGACATGGTTAGACATCTTGTATTGGATGAAGCAGATGCTCTATTTCATGAGACGTTTGAAGATAAGCTGCAAATATTCTTGAGAAGAGTGCCAGTATGTTTATATATTTTTTTAATATTAAAGAAATCTTGTATATATATATATATATA